AGAGGAAGACACCTATTGCACAGTGCTATATTAGGTGATACTGATGAAAGATTAACTGGATTTTTCTCAAGATTACAATGTGATGCAATTAAAGAAGTTATTGAAAATGATGATATTATCAAGACTTTTGGTTTCACTAAAATTAGAATCATTGGGAGATAAAATCGACCAGAAGATATCTGATTTTTATAGAGTAAGTCAACCAGCCAGAACTCTTGGCAGACTGGTGCTAGAAGCCCGAAGCAGAAGGCCTGAAGTTAAGCTGGATTTGGATTATCTTCTCAAACCTGAAAACTTTGATTTCTTGATTCAGTGTACGAAATATATGTCCCACAAGCGGGATGAACCTGTACTTACACTTGGGAGATTAATAGGAAATCTGATTGGTCATGTCATCCAAGTAAAAATTGGTCTGGCCCTACGACAAAATAATGATGTCAAAAACAGAGAGGCATCAAATTTTCAGAAATTGTATGAGTCAGAATGGAATTTTAGAGTAAATGCAATATGTACTAAAAAATACAATATCAAAAAGAGACAAAATATTCAAACTATTCCAATAACAGAAGATCTCAAGAAATTAAGAAATCACATTATGGCAAAAATGCGAAGTACTGGTGATACCCTAAGTGCCCTTCCAAACATAGAAAGCTGGAATTGTCTAAACAAATTGACTCTAGTCAGAATCATTCTCTTTAATAAAAGAAGGAGAGCTGAAGTAACCGAATTAAAGGTAGATGACTTCATCAACAGACCTAACTGGAAAGAAGAAATGAATGGGGAAATAAGCTTGGCATTAACAGAGAGTGACAGAATTCTGGCCAATAGGTAAGAAACAATAACAATATAATCACAATCCACAAAGAATAATCCGTATTCTGATTTCACAACAATGATTAACAAAGTTTGGATACAAATATGAGCCACAAACTTCGGCAGCACCTGGTGTTTCAAAAAGAGTTAGTAAGCTTTGTGCATAAAACCTGTAATTGTTATAAACAATGAGGAACATTTCTAATTCATCGTCCATACATCGTTCTTAATGATAGAATTGAGTTTATTAGATTAATAACCCTATTGTAGAAGCTAGTAGAACTTCAGAAACTGTTTTTCCAGACCTCACCAATGTAGATGAAAGAATTAGCTAGCACATATCAACAATATAAAGACTGAATTTTTCTGTTTGATTTTTTTTTGTAGAATGGATATGATGATTTCTGGTGGGAAGTCCAGAAAAAATGTTGATGCTTACGTCTTATTTCCACCAGATTGTATGAAGGCTCTCAACATTCTTATGGAAACAAGATCGTCGGTCGGTATCAGAACATCAAACAATTACCTATTTGCCAGACCACTGTCTGATACACCACTCTCTGGGCACACTGATATCAAAGATGTTGTAAATGAATGTTCAAACTTAAAATGTCCAGAACGAATTACATCCACTTCGTTAAGAAAATATGCTGCAACAGTATCTCAGGTATGATTTAAATAGTATACAGACAACATTTTTGTCCTTGTAGCCGTTCCAAATTGATTTAATAGAGCAGATGTCTTTTACATTGATGTCACAATATGTGTTTTCATTTTCTTGTGATTTTCTGTTGATAATATGCATAATTGATTTAATTTAGATTCTGGATATGACACCGAAAGAAATTGAAACCTTAGCAACGCATCTTGGGCATGATGTAAATACTCATAAAAATTTTTATAGATTACACAGTTCAACTATAGAATTATCAAAGGTAGCTAATTTCTTGCAGTATTTAAATAAAGTTTTGAATGTGATATATTCCTTAATAGAATTCAATATTCTATTCTATCTTGCCCCATATATGATGATACAAAACTTAAATATTTCCATGCTAATAACAAGTCGTTTTGCCCATATGAGTTTGTTGGATAATTTTTCATTATCAGGTTTCTCACATGCTACTTGCCATGGAAGGAGGTCACATGAATGTTTGGAAAGGAAAGAAACTTGAAGACATAAATATATTAGGTTTGTAATATTTGAAATTGTATCGCATTTGTACATACATATTCATTGTAAACCTTAAAAAATCATGTAACAATGTAATTAGAAATAACATTCCAGTCCAACACTAAACAATCTTTGGATAACCATGTAAATTTAATGAAATATTTCAGATTTACCGGGTGAGGCTCTCGAATGTGATGATAAGAGTGATGATGATGATATTTCTTGTAAAGGTATACCAAATTTCACTAGAAAACTATTTGACATCAAACAAAAGATTGAAGTTATTTTGAGGAGACAATTTTTGATTGAAAAAATGGATCTAAATTGTGTTAATCACCAAAATTTCTTTAAAAAATAATCTACGTTTTGATTATAATGTATCTTTAAGATTTGATAAACTCATGAAATATATTTTCAGATGTACCAGATGAGGTTATGAATTGTAATGATATTGATGAAGTTGAAAATGAGATTGAAGAGGTCATTTCTTGTAAAGGTATATTTAACATGAAATTCCTTCAAAAGCTTATTGAAATCAAACAAGGAGACTTTTACTGCTTTAGCCAATTAACAATTGAATTATCATAGGAGCAATTTAGACTCTCTGATAGGGATGTGGAGTTGACAATATAAATACCAAACAAAGAATATTAGGTATATTGGTCCCCTGAACGGATTATATAGTTCACGGTTTTAATACCAGATGTATATATGTTTTTAGACAATCAGGCATGTGAAAGAAGTAAAGATAATATAGAAAGCATTAATCATACAGATGATACAGAAAGTATTAAAGGTGAGATGTTATCAATACTTTGCTTAAAATATATTTCATTTTGCAATTCTTCTTTGGTATTAAAAAAAGTGATAAACCAATCATAATTGTTATTTATTACATAATAAAAAATTATTAGAACTTTTATTAAAATGTATTACTTACACTCTGCTGAAGTTTGCAGAAAACATTTTTACCTATTATGGTATATTGAGTAAAGCATTATTTTTTTCATTTCCCTATTTCATTTACTGTTTTAGTTAAGAAACATTCAAAGAGAAAAAGGTCAGAAGAAGAAAACAACATCATAAGAAGTAAAGATAATTTAGAAAGCATTAATCATACAGATGATACAGAAAGTATTAAAGGTGAGATGTTATCAATACTTTGCTTAAAATATATTTCATTTTGCAATTCTTCTTTGGTATTAAAAAAAGTGATAAACCAATCATAATTGTTATTTATTACATAATAAAAAATTATTAGAACTTTTATTAAAATGTATTACTTACACTCTGCTGAAGTTTGCAGAAAACATTTTTACCTATTATGGTATATTGAGTAAAGCATTATTTTTTTCATTTCCCTATTTCATTTACTGTTTTAGTTAAGAAACATTCAAAGAGAAAATGGTCAGAAGAAGAAAACAACATCATAAAGAAAAAGTTTAGAATTCAAATAGAGAAGAATGTAACTGTTACCAATGATGAGCTATTAGAAGTTCAAAAGACTCTAAACAATAGATCTTTGGCAATGATCAGAAGTAAAATAAACAATATGAAGTTTGGTAAATGTAATTGAAAGAAATAGATTCACCTAACACTAGACATAACACTTAATTCATTCAATTCATTCTTATAGGTACACTCCTAACTTTTACTACCAAGTATTTTGTACTGCCCATGGTTCAATGACTATAATTAGTTGGTATGTTTACTGTAAACAGTATATCATCACACCACAATATATCTGCCCAAGTTTATATTAACATATCTTGTTAAACTTATTTCAACTATTTTAGAAAGCATTCAATATAGAAATTCAATAAAAATGGTTGGAAAGTAAGCCATACATTTCGTGTATGTAAGACATTCATTGAATAATAGCTAAACAAAATTTTGAACAGTTAACATTTAACCTAAGATCATATTCATAAAAATTTAACTTTTAAATTATCGAGAAGTTATCGATATGAACAAATTGTGGTGAAATTTTATTTTATTTTCTTAAATATTATTAGGCTGTGAGTTACAGTTAAAGGGTATCTTAGTATCCAAATTAAATTCTTGGAATGATCTTTGTTGTTTTTATTAATGCGCCAATTCATTGAATGGATAGTTTGATACTGAGGTAACTTGGGCATTCTTTTAGTGTAACTGGTCTTCGTTTCCAATATGACAAAAGCATTAAAGGAAAGCAATTACTTAAGTAATTTAATAGCTGGACCCGAACAATGTATAAGATGTCAATCCTCATTCTTCAAGTATCTTCCCTAAGCTGGCAGAATTTGATAACACATTGATTCCCTAAATGTCCATTGCTGCAGATAACAGACCTTATTCCATTGAAATCCATACCATAGCAACAAATTTACACCATCTTTCAATGTTTATCCAAAATCCTGTAGCTTATGCTCAAAGGCTGAATGTACTATTTGGATAATTGACTTCTTTCAGTTTATAAAGTAAATGGTACAAACTGATTTCTAAAGAAGAATTATTGGGTCTGTGGTATTGGGGAATAAAAACATATATATGTCTGTGTTATCAAAGGGGAAGAATATTCAAAATTCATATTCCAAATATGATGAAAAAATATTTTAAAAAGCAGTTTTTTTTAAATAAAATGACATTTATTTTCTTACAGCTTTATAAAGCTTGTCAACGTGAATATCGGAGATCTGTAATATTCTGATTGGTTTCTTTGGTTTGGTTGCTGTTGTGGAGGTATTATGAATTAAATCATATTGCGAGGTTGATCTTTGTTCATCTTTGATATGTAAAAGTATATCATCAGACTCTTGAAAATATTTTGGTAAACAAAAACTGAGTTTTTGACACAGTGGTATAGGGTCGAGTAACAACTGATCAGCTATGTACAATACCTGGAAAACAAAGGAACCACGCAAACTGATATCATTATTAAAACCCGTTTTACTTCATTAACAGAGACCTAACAGTGCACGTTAAGTTTCCCTCGACAATCGATGGTCGAAGTACAAGTAGGATGGTGACATTCAATACTTAGCTTATTGTTTAAATGCATCATTGCATGGATTATTATATATAAAGAAAATATCATTGGCATACGTGTTGTTGGTAGAGAGACAACCTACCCGGCTTTATGAAATAGATGTGCAGTACATGTAATTTCAATGATAAGAACATTTGACTGTAGTTTACTTACTGGAGGTCCATAAGCGCTGATTATTCCCGGACAGATCGCCTTATTTAACCCTATCATATGAGTGACTTTGTGACAGATACTTTCAGCAGGTCCTCGGAATTTATTAAATGTATAATTTAGATTTATTTGCTTGTTAATCAATGCTACCAAATTCTGAAAGTACAGATAAATAGATTTCGATCAAAGTTGGCTATTCCTCTTTATAAAACTCAATACAAGTAATTCACATTTGCATTGGAGAAAGCAAATTCATTTTCAGTGATGCACGTCAGACTCTGAAAAGGTACCCATTTGATAATCTTAAGGGCAGTGTGTTAGAGGTTGTGTGGGATATAGGACTCTTTGTATTTCATAGATTTTACATAATTAAGAGATTTTCCAGTCTTTTTACATAAACCTGAAAACGCTATCTTGAAGAATATAGTGACGATGGCCGGCTTTCGTGGTAGTGTTCGTGCTATGTAGCAGAATCTGGTAAGTGTGGTCGTGTTTCGTGCAAGCAGAATATATAGAGAGTGGTAGTGTTTCGTGGCATTGTTCTTGCAGAAAGTGTAAGTTACACAGAATTTCTAATTGGATACAACAATGAATGACCAATGTAAATTCTTACCTTGCATATTTCACAAAATATAAACCTGGGATATTTTTCTTCTAATATCAGTTTCAGTTCAGATGGTAGTTCAATTGATGTATTTTCACTGTTTTCCCAATGTAGCTTGTTCTGAAGAGATGTGGTTGTTCCTTGGTCGTTAGAATCCAAGATATGTTCTTCATGGTGCAACTGATTTACATCGTCTGCAACAATACCAGTGGGTCCATTGGCAGAATTATGGTGTATATGGAAATATAATCCAGTAAAGCTCACGAGCCCAGCAGCAGTCAGTATATATTTAATAAAATATAGGTATATCATAATTATTTAAATCATCCCCGTTGTCTCAAGTCATATTCAATGTTTTCTGAAAATAACAAACAAATTCCTTTTATTTTCTCAATTCGACACTGCCAAATGTAGTTTTAAATCTTGTAATTTCATGTCATAAATATACGATGTATACCTGTTAGATCCCAATTTGAACGAATACTTTGTATGCCTTATCTCATTTTTCACCATTTCATGAAAGCTTTAATTTTGTTCATACGGCAGACATTGTATTTTACCAATAACCAAAAAAGATATCATTACAGTCCAAGTTTTTACCCTTTTTGAGTGTTAGACAGAAATTTGTAACCGATGTCATTAAAAGTAAATATGGAATAATCTAAAAATAATCAATAATAATTTAATTCGTCCAATTAATTATTAATATCTGCTTTACTACAGTGTAATTTCAACCTTCATTAATTTTTCATATATATTAAAAGTGTCAATTATTTAAATTGTGTGGAAGATATAATAAATCATATAGGCTAGGCATATCTTTTGATCCATTCCATTTTTTCCTGTCCCTTTATTAGCCCTTTACATTCACTTCAAGACGAAATTGGTACTATTATAAGGTAGAATTTTTCGCCTAAATTTTGGAATTCTTCAAATTCTTTTACGGAATACGTGGGATATCAATTATATTGAGCTAATATATTATAACTCTGTTCATCCTTTATATGAAACTATCCAAATACCAAACGAGGAAGTGACTTTGGTAAACATTCATAATATACTATATTTACATGTTCGTGAATGAACCTTTTAATAATGTGACATCCCGACTTTACAGTTGGTGATGTAAAATTCATAAAGTGCACCTTTAATCACAAATTAGTCTATAAATCAATTAGAATTATAATTACCTCGTACGTATACCTGGAAATCGGATGGGATTATCCCTAATAAGTTTCAATATCACATGATTAAAGTTGTTATGACTAAGCTCCTCCTCTGGTTTACGCTCTGTGTCTAATTCGTTCACCTATATATTATACAAGGTGTACCCTTTGTATGTTGAAGGTAACGCCTGGGTAATCTTATCATATTGACCAAATTAATTCCCTGACGTTTTTCTATTACTTTACGTCCGAGTCTATCTAAATTTTATCATGTGATACAAATATAAATAGTTGATTATCAAAGTAGGTCAATTAGGGCAGGATAAGGGTTCTGGGCAAGAACGGTGATCTCTATATCTATGAAATAAAAAATGTTCCCTATACCGTTAACTTTTATCACAAACCTCGACAAGAATTATTGTCGAAACGACACCAAACTGATTCCAAAACTTTATTGTTAGACTGTACATTGATGGAGATACAATTTTAAGTTGTCATTTTAAATACCATTAGTAAACGTGACTCGACAGATTTCAAATTTCAGTTACAAGAATAAATATTTCTAATGTTATGAAAAGATTATTTCATGAAACTATTTAGAAAATCGTGTCAGGATACTTGCCTGGACAATACAACCCTCTAGTGACGTCATGCCATTATTCTGGAAGTGTAGTTGACGTTGCGTCCCTTTTTACTCTGGCATAATCCTTCAAGATTTAATTATATTCATGTAGTCTACAATATACATGTACCAGGATATTTTTAATCCCAGGGGACGTTCAATCATCCTTTCAAGAGATGTCTCCTGAAGACATTATCAGATATAATAACTCACTGGTCGCCGACTGGATTGAGCACGTCCGTATGTTTCCGAGTTGCACCCCTTTGCCAGAAATTCCCGAGAATGTTTTGGATATTGTATAAATAAATGGGAGCAGATAGGTTCACTCCAGCAGGCACCATTAGGTACAAGTTGAGTTCGAGCGATGCATGTTGTATCGTATATTAGCCTGGGTATTATAGAGCCCTAGACACCGTGGTCTACACCATCACTACCTTCTCCGACTCACGGAGATCTTTAGTAACCTATAGCTTTGTTAGCTTTGCCAATCGGTATTAATGTTCATTGCTCACCGTCATGGGCGTTTGCCCCTTAATTCCATGTGGATAAATCTAAGGTGAAGGCAGATGGGCATCAAAGTTTTACAAATATAGTCAGTCAGGCTAACTGGTTGATGGACTGTCCGAATCGTGTAGGTATGACTTGCTCCCCTTATTTCTTTAATATTTTTTGTTTTTCCCAACCGAAAAACCCAGCAAATAAGTCCGCCCCGGTTTATAAGTGAGATAAAACACGTTAGGAGGTTTTGATGATTTCTAAAACCCTTTTCACTGGGATATGGGATTGTGGGTGGTATCTGGAATTACTAAACTAAAAATAACAAACCTATGGTTTCTTACAAAACTTGGAATTTTCAGATCGAAACTGGTATGCCATCCTACCATAAAATAACATGACAATTGATCATTGGCTAGGTTATACTAACAGAAGGTTATGTTTACATTTCAGAAAAGGACAGTTTACTCTCGAGGAATCTGTAACTTGCAAAGCTTATAGCTGAGGGTCTCAGACTATTGTCCTATCCAAATTACTAGATGAGGTTTTCCAAGTCAGCCCTTCCGACTATAATACACTAAAGGTATCATCTCATCCAATGTCTGGAGAAGCTTGTAATAATGATGATTCAAGATTCAAATCGTACATATTCAAGTCACTCCACTTAAAGTTCTGGCTAGAATATCAATAAATGTTGTTGTTGGGTGTTGGGTGTTATGGAAGATATTTTCCTGTAGAAGCATGTTGGTGATTTACAATTTGTACTATAACGTTAATCTTATATTGAATTATTAATATCCACTGAACCATGACGTCTTTACAGATTATAGATTAAACAGGACCCTGTATAGTTAAACTGTGTTATTTTACATGGTTGTTACTAACAATATAATAAGCTTTCACAGAGGAAATCATACTAAAGATATCCTTGATTATTGTACATGTATGTTTCGAGTGACAAACAATGATTACACTTTGATATTTTGGAAATTTACGCGTTAAAATGGAAAAGAAGCGGGCAGAAAGTCCTACTGACTGTTCAAAAGCGGTAAGAAATGTTAAATATTATCGTATAATTATTTATGTGATATTTCAATAATAAAATGATTAATGGTCAAATGACTTATGATCTATGACACATGGAGCTGGGTTTAAGTAAACCAATTGTCCAACTTATTCGAATGGAGGATAAACTTGGACTTTTGAATGTAAAAGTAAACCTATTTCATTCAGTGAACATCAAATAAAACGAGCTGACCTGGAAGCCTTACAAGGTGCAGGAGGACAAAAACTCAAACTGTTCATTTTACGAAATTCGTTTCTCCAACGATCCCTCGATGCACGACACCGAACTTTATCCATTTTACCTTTTTATTACCTCAATGTACAAAATCTATTGTATGGAACAGACACCAACATGACCTCTTTTTTGATTTTTGAAAAAATTCATGATTTTATTGCCTTTTCCAAACGATTTTAAACCTTTGTGTTCCCTATTATTACTATTATTATTATAATTATTATTATCATTTCAAAATAAGTAGCAATGATATGTTTATAACAATCAAATCGTTTAATATGTAAAAATGTTTATGTAAATGTTTATGTAAATGTTTATGGGAGAGGAGTGATATAGGCGAAAGCCTGTTCCCCAATCCTTTTCTTTTTGAATAAAATATTGTTTACAAAAAAAAAACGATACCTCGATGATGAAGACAGTGCTGGGTCGTTGAATCAAAAGGAATGAATACATGACCATGACATCTTACTACAAAGACTGCTTGGCTAAGTTTGGCAATATAAAAAAATATTCGAAATAGTCTATTGACACATACAATATAGCAAAGTCTGGCTCGGTGCAAAGACAATAATAACACTAGGCCTACTGTTGTAACTCTTTTGTCTATGATTCTTTAAATGGGTGTACTCTATGCATTCTCTATTCGGGATTTAAATCATATTCATTTATACAAAAAATATAGAAAACAAGGAAGCAGAATTTCCTCTTTAATTCCTATTCACACTAATCTTTACAAACACACCGTTTGTATAATTTAATATACAATAATAAAATATTTTCACTGTTGAAATAGTGCTCAATACAACAATTGTAGAGTGATATAGAAGTATTAAAGCAGAACCTACAAAAACATGCTGTTGTTAGGCCATTCAGAGTTTCTCGCAATGCCAATATTTCTAATTTACTATACAAATAAGTAATATTATCGGATGTGCTTAAGAAACAGTGTCAAAACTATCATTATAATAATCTAATAATAATACTGGTTTTGAATTCTAGCGTGAGGTGTATTTGAGGGTAGTCTTTTTGAAAATTGGTGAAATAGATACAGTTCAGGAATCGTATCAAGCTGATGTTATTGTTCAAGCGAAATGGAGGGAGATGTCGCTTGACCATAGCACATTTAAGGTAAGAAATGAACTGAGGTGATGTAATGTGGTGTTTAACGTCTATGTGGAATTTCTTTTTTTACCTACTTATTGTCCAGACATCTTTAACGAGCGCAGCCGCGTTAAGCACAAGGGACATCGGTATATAGTAGCCTATATCCTAACGAATTTGTTTTTTTTGGCATCATTTGAAAATCTGACAGTGTATATTGAGTTATGGCAGATTAAGGGCTAAGAGTAGGAGCTAAGAGTGAAAGCAACGCATGAAGTACATGTATTTCTCTATATCAAATATGTGGACACTCTGGACGGATGCCGAATTGGCGACCTTATTCTCAGTATGGCGTGCCAATAGAAAAAATTTACATAGCTCGAAGGATAAGATCTTTCCAAATTTATTTCAACCTCGTATGTTGTATGTTTGTTGTAACCAACATCTCTTATGCCTAGTTCACACCAACGGCGAATGCCGCGCTTTAAGTCGGCGAGCAAAGCGCCATCATTTTTTGTTTACTTATCACGATCTCCTAAGTAATGTTACGCTCTGATAAGCTCTGATACGAATTGGTTACGCTTTGGGGACGAATTATTTCCCGATTTGATCAGGCCTTGTTACGCTTTAAATCACGCTTAGATAAGCTTTATTAAGCTTTGATACGATTATCAAGCTCTGTTATGCATTGTTAAGCTCTGTTACGCATTGGAAAATTTCGAAATGGCCGATTTCATGCCGCTTTTGATCAAGTGGTGACAGACCGTGAAAACTGGGGTCCCCGCTTTGAATAAAGCTCTGTTAAGCTTTCCTACGATTTGAGTAAAGCTTTGCTGAACTTTGTTACGCTTTGTTAAGCTTTGATACGTTCTCGGCGCTTTAATCAATTCGTGACAGAGCGCCCAAAATTTTTAAACAGTTTAAAATTTTTTGGCGCTCTTGCCGAATATCCAGCTTTGCTTAAAGCTTTCCAACGATCTATTACGACCCTGGCGCTTTAGTCGAGCTTTGTTACGCTTTGGTACCGCTTTGTACGCCGCTTTAAAGCGCCATCAAAGCGCCGTTGGTGTGAACTGAGCATAACATGAATTAGCTGATGTGGAATGGACATCCGGCGATTTACTGCGATTTAACACGTTGTATCTGCACTTCTATGTCAGGATTTAGATGTAATTACTTCGCCCAATCTGTGGAAACCAAAACTTCAAATACAGAATATTATGAAGGATGGTAAAAGTCGTATTTCAACAGAAGTAGAATTCAATGAAAAACGTGAAGCCTTTATTATTGAAAGCAGAAGAATACATGGTATATTTTCAGAACATCTGGAGCTTTACAATTTTCCTTTTGATATTCAGGTATTCACTAATATTTATTGTCACTTACTCTGAATTTACTGAATAGTTTCCGCATAAGGGAAGCAACTTGTACTCAATTACTATCAATAATTGTTTTATGCTTGCTGCAATTTTAAAATCAATTGTCTTTAATGATTATATTTTTGTCTTATTAAGGGACTTTACGATTAAGGTACCAAAACTTGTGCTAAAACGTATTAAAAGAGATAGGTAATTTGGGCCAGAGTTTGTTTCTGATATTCATGGTTTTGCGCTATTCATTATTCAAATCGCATCATTTTGAAATAATTTACTAATTTCTGTCTTACTTAGGATTTGTCCTTATTGATTACATCGGAATTGCGAGATACTGAGATAATCTTATTGGAAGATGAAAGACAATTAAGCCGGATTAATCCATTGGGATTTGTTGATGTTCAGGAATGGAAACTACGAGAGTTTATTAAGACAACTAAAGACGTTAACACCTTTCATGAAATATTTTTTCGTAAAAAGAAGTATCCAACTTTAACGTTTAATTTCGCCGCAGTCAGAAGGCCTGGATTTTTTATCTGGAATATTATGTTTATAATGGTAAGTGTGTCCTTCAGACCTATTCTAGCACAAGCCCACATCGCACTCCGCCCACACACACTTTGAAATTTCATTTTACATTGGGAACAAATTGTCTGTGAGCCCTCTTGACAACTTTGTGGTCCTTACTCTTTCCCCACCTTAAGATGAGGCCTCTATCAGGAAATGACGGCTTACATCATGGCATAGGGGTAGGTTTACAAACGAAAACCATAGGAAAGTCTTCCATGCATGAGGTCGGTAGCCGAGAAGCTTGATTCATAGATAATTATTTTTAAAATCTTGTAGTGTTGTGTAATAACTCCTTATAACCACGTTCCAAGGTATGGCTGTACCAATAATTCATTTTTCTGTCACTGTTTAATTTTCATGCTCACCCATTTCAAAGCTTCAATCGAACAGGTTTATGATGGATTCTTGTTTCTCACTTTGGCTTCAATGTCACTGTTGGTTTTCAAATTTGTTTTCAGGCCTTAATAACGTCCCTGTCTTTAACAACATTCGCTGTAAACACCAGTCTTCCTCAACATCGACTACAAATGACATTTACTTTACTATTAACAGCCGTAGCCTTTAAATTTGTGGTAGCACAGTCTTTACCTAAAATACCGTATTTAACCTATCTGGTACGTATGAATCTCGGCTGCATGTTTTTACCCTCTTTTTTAAAGAATAATATGATTGTCATACTGAGGGCTTCCAGTAACCACATACAGACATACAGATACATTGATTTGAAATTCTAAGTTGTCGTGTAAAATCAGTTTATAAATATATTTCTGATCATTATTATAACGAAGCTCCTGTTATAAGAAATACAAAATGGCGATCCTAGTCTACGATCATTTTTTTTCTTACTTACATTTGGGTCAATTTATGATTAGTTATACGATTATGTTGTTATTATGTTTTTCGTATGTATGACCATGTTGTTAATTGTTTTCTTTTATAGGATATCCATATATTAGGCTGTATGATTATGCTGTATCTTGTGTGTGTGTGGCATGGTATAGTTACTCTTATGGGTAGCTTGACTATATTACCAACGTTAGACATAGTAGCTGTAGTAGTATTTGGTTTAATATTTATTTCATTTCATGTAATCTTTGGTATTATAGTATACTTCACGGTAAGTAAAATCATATTCTCCTTTAACTGTATGAATTTAAGTTTGAACTAGGTTGAAATTTGGAATGCAGTAGCTACGAGAGCGTCTGGGAGTGTTCTTCCCAAAGAGAAATAGAATTGATGGTGTATTTGACAGAAATTTTGGTGCAAATCGTATAAAAAATGATATTTTAAAATTTGTTACAATGAAGTGTGGGTACAATTTATAATTGGGGGTACAAACTATTTTTAGTATAGAGAGACAAATGCGCATAATTCAACTCGACTGGTGGAATGAAAACAAACTTTCTTTTACTTTTCAGACTAGGGCTAGAATGAAGGAAATTTACTATGCTGAACGTGTTTATAAGGTTTGTTGACTTATTTCTAAGGCTTTGCAACATAATGTGTCGTACCCCTCAGCGATTTCGTCCCTGCGAAGTTAAAATACTGCAGACGAAGGATTTATATGATAATTATAATCCATTAGATATTGAAAATGCTATTGTGCTGTTGTCTGCTAATGTATGTTTGGTTATATGGTTAGATTCTCCTTATGATACTCTTAATATTTTTCCTATTGTTTTTTTTTTACAGGAAAAAGCTTTAAGTGTATATGGAGAATCATACACGAAGCTAAAAAGAAAACCACTGCGAAGAAACTTCAGAAATTCGAGAGTGACTTCCAGTATTATTCCATGATCTGTTATTTTGTGTTCAAGTTTTAATCGGGTTTGCTGCTTGATGTGCAAAACTATAATTGTGTAACAGTAAGGGGTTACAGTATCCCAAAGCTATAAGTATTATAACGAGAGTGTGTGTAGTTTGGATATAAACTTGAAGTTACTGTGTTCGGCCTGGGAACCCTTTACGTGTAGTGGAATAGGTCGACAAAATGCATTATTTACCACTAAGCATTGACTATGATTTTAGAATCGACACGATGCGAGTCTCGGGGATTAAACAATTATATCATATATATGTAGAATAAAATTATGATTAGTTTTGCAAAATTCGTCGGGGACCATAATTAAGAATCCATGAATTTGACATTTGGGGTTACGGGTAAAACGTGTCTTGGTTGTAGACAATTTGAGAGATTCTGTATATTACAACATATTTCAACCATTGATGAAATGTGTTTTTAATCATCAATATCTGAAAGTAATCTAGAATTTATATACATTATACAATAAAGTTACGAGCATTAAGTTATTATGTGGATATTCTGTTGGTACGTTACATGATTTATAAAGCATCGGGCTTTCTTGAAAAAGTTGTCCTATGGGATGTCAATTCAAGAAATATATTCCATAAGATTAATCCTGAACATCGATAACCATTGGACAAATAAACTCTGAATGGCGGATTCCAAGAGAGAAAACTGGAGCAGAACGTTTATTGATGGTTACTTTCTCTGGACAGTGAGCGCCAGGTCCGGGTTTCTTTGTACGGTCACCCGGCATGTAACTGCGACGCCTCATGGAGTATAATGGGGCCCTATTTATAAAGGTATCTGGGGATGTTGCATGGTAATGTCCTGGGCCTGGTGCTTTTGCTAGATCTTCTAAATAACTGCCGATCTCTCTTCTTCCTGTAATAAATAATGTTGAGAAAGATTACATTGCACAAATTGAAAGATTCATATATCGTAGTCGAAACAAAATGTAGTTCATCAGGATAACTCCCTCTAAAGATGTTTTTTCTGTTACCAAAATTAATAAATCCGTGGGCAAAAGGATAAAGGATTTAAACACAGTTCTTTTCATGCATTTTGAAGCTAGCAAATACCCCTCTAAATATCAACATGTCCGAATCATGTAGTAATTTGATTCATGACACCATCAAGCCCTAATAGTGTTTCTTACAGATATGCAACTTCTGGTAAATCATGTTTGATAAAAACGAATTTGACTGCAGCAGATCAGAAAAACAATTCTATATCATTTTTTTATACGCCCACATGAAATGGGTGGCGTATATTGCCGTCACCCATGTCGGTCCGTCCGTCCACAATTGCTCTACAAGACACAATTCTTGACGGATTTGGACAAAACTTGGTATGAGTGTTCGTAATCACCCAAGGATGAACTCTATTGAAAATCAGAAGAATCGAAAAGTATTTAGTATAAGTTATTGCCCTTGTTCTTGAAAACGCGTTCAATTTTTAAACACTCTAGAAGGCACATTTCTTGACGGATTTTAACCAAACTTGGCATGAGTGTTTGTTATCACCCAAGGATAAACCCTATTGAAAATCAGAAAAATAAAAAAATAATTACTATGAGTTATTGCCCTTGCTATTGGAAACGCGATCAATTTTTAGCTCGTAATCACTCTAGAGGGCACAATATTGTTGACAGATTTTGATGAAACTTGATGTGAATGTTCGTTATCACCCAAGGGTGAACCCTATTGAAAATCAGAAGAATTGAAAAATATTTAGTATAGAGTTATTGCCCTTGTTCTGGAAACGCTTTCAAATTTAGCTCTTAAACACTAAAAGGCATGATTCTTACTGGATTTTGACAAAACTTGGTGTCATTATTCAGTCCCGCGCTGAAGATTGAATATTTGCCTTCTAGAGTTTTCACGAGCTAAAAATTGATCAATATTATTCAGTATCGCCCTAAAGAGTTCAAAAGAAGTGTATGACTGAGGGTTGAACATTTCATACTGGTGATTGTCACTGTACTGCTAAATATTTTTATTCAAAATCAAAGCTGCCAGTGGGCATTTATTATCTTGCCTGGCAAGCTATCTTTGACATTTGGATAAGGCCCGATCTGAAAATACACAATGGCGTTTGGTATTGAAAACAATTTGCATTAACGTTGACACCCAAGATTCCTACCACGAAGAAAACCAACATCAATACTGTCTTCTGTGACACAGACATACAATGTACATACCAATGAGAGAGTATGCTGATGACGATTGTTTATTGGGTTGGGTTGCTCCAAGTATAGGTGGTAATTTATACTTATTGGATGATGGATTATTATCCGTCTTTCTATAGCGTGTTCTAGATCCAATGGAATATTTAGGAGCATGTTTTTCACCCTGCGGATGAACACGTTCTGGGCAATATGCTCCTGGTGATGGTGTGTTAAAGATTTCTGAAAATAGCAAAAAAAGATTTATATCATCCATCTGATACCTGCTACGCATTTGATTCTACACTCATGATGCGTCTGATAGTCACACCATACTTATCATGTATCCTATATTTTTCAGATATCTTATACTTTTCATGTATCTAATACTTTTCAGATATCTGATACCTGTCATGTATCTAATAGCCTAGTCATGTATCGGATACGTATTATATCTACAATAATATCGGACGAACATAAAATACTTACAAACTGTACATCATTTTCATAACACAACTGTACCGAAATTATTAGCAGGGAGTATTGATTTGTCTTTGTAGAAACACACTTATGTACTACGCAATGTGAAATCTTAAGGATGGCATAAAACAAAACCTGGCCTTGTCATATGCTATGTACAGCAGAGCATTCTATAAATACTGTTCAACTATAGGTCAATTATCTTCGAAATGTCAAGATATTTCAAACTTCATTTTATAAGACAAAGTTCGTAATATCTTGACATTGCGAAGACTCTATACCATGTGTACAATCTGTTTCTTTATAATCAGTTAAATGCATTAAAAACATACTTTTTCCTTGCTGCCTTGCTAACATTGAGTATGCCGGGGTGCCATCTTTACCATGCTTAGTTATTGCAGGGTCAATGCCATAAGCTGGACCAGGACCTCTTCTATGATCTGAAATAATAATGAATCATTTAACAGTAATGAGATGCAGGAGATATTCTTATAGGGCTGCTACACAAAATATCACACCGTCATCAAAAGGACGCTTTCATCAAGTTTTCAACTACATGAGTTATCTACCGTTCATTAGTCAGATGATGCCCAAGCACCGTTTCAAACACAATATCATTCACAATGAATATCATAATAAAATAAGATTTATGTGCTGAACAATTTATTTTAAGACCAGCAACTCCCCCCCCCCCCTTTCCATCACTTGCAGGTCTCTTTAATTCGTCCCTAATAACTCACCTAGAAGCTTTGTACGACGACCAAACGAATAAGCTGCATTGGTATATTTGGTAAAGTCATGGTCTGTAAAGCCACATGTTGATGGTAGTTTGTATCGACCAGGTCCTGGGCCTAAAAACAAATGTGAAGCAAGTAAAGCCGTATCAACTTAATGATGGTAATGTTTGTTAGGACATTCTATGGATCACACTTATTGTTGGTTGGTGAAAGTCAAACTGCACAGTTGCCGCCCGTTGCCAATGTTTTAAATTAAAAAAAATGCATTTTATCGCCTTGGTCTTTAGAAATCTGAGACTTTTACAGTTCAGATCGCAGTTGCTACTATACTGCCAATGTTAGGCATCAGCGATTCGTTCTATCAACTAGGCGTATTTTAATGGACATGTGGTTTCATATTATTATATCTGTCAAGTATTAAAAAAATTATGTAGACCTAACCACCTCGTGTGACCTAGCCTTAAAGCTACTAGTAGTAGTAGCCTACCTAGCCTTAGGCCTATATGGGAGCAAGAAGATAGAAACGTTCATTAATTCCCTTTTCATACAAAGTTCAAAGATTTAATGAATTATTTTTCATATACAAATTTTGTCGATTTTTACCCCTTTCCTTCGCGGCTATCAAAGGTAAATCCCTGTTTTCTTTATCGGCATCACCCTCCATTGTTAGCGTATAGATCTTCAAATCGGCTGTGGATGACAAGTGGGCGTGTCTATGGGCAACGAGCGACAGAATCACGCGAGAATTGACGTGATCGAGCGAGAACCAGTCAGCTGACTTCCTGTTTATAAAAATGGGTGTTGAAATTTTGCTCTCGATTAAACATAGGATGATAAACCTACCATAATTAATGTAAATTGTTTTTTTGTTTTTAAAAGGGAACTTTTTATTTAGGTTCAATAATCATTGATCTATAAGATGAAACTGCTATTTATCATATCACACAGTGTATTACATAAGAGGTTATCTTCTCTCACTCACAGATTTTACGACACATATCTGAAATAATTCGTCTGCACAATAAGATCTGATCTGCATCTGCTTTAGTTCAATATTGCATAGCATTTGCATTGCTCTTAGTAGAAATAGTAAATTTAGTTGTTTGAATCTTGTATGTTGAAATGTCAATAAATGCCATGCAGTGTGCATTGCATTGAGGACACTTGTAAACTAAGAACATAGTGAGTATTTTCTCCATTAGCTTCAAACTTTTTAAGGAAGGGTAAGGTTAATATGTTTATAAAGTAAGACACATTTGTCTTGCAATTCCCTCCTCCAAATGCATAATTTACAGAGGTGAACTAGAAAATGCGTGTCTATATTCACTGAATATCTTTGTCGTTCTTTTCTTGAACTGAGGTGGATGCCTTTAATTGCAGAACAATTTATTTTGGGTTATTTTATCAAGAGAAAACTGTTTTTTTTTTTTTTTTTTTTAGATAGTTGAGTTACAATATGATCAAAAAGCTGTAAAATGGGTGAAATATTTAATTCTCAAGAATATCAGAGTTTTCGTAGTTCTGTATGTCATAAAAAGGTAATGATATGGTTGTGTATTATTATATTTAGCATTTATATTCCTTTCTATGCTTCTTGACAATATGATATATCAAAGCCTGTTAAAGAGATACAAAAGTGGTTTTCTGGCCTATTCTTCTACATCAAGCCATCATAGCTTCTGTATGCACCATTGTGAGTTCCAGTCCAGTGTACCCATATCATTTATTATATTTTCAGTAAATCTAAACAAGATAATGTCATAGACTAATAATTGTTTCTCTATTTAGATTATAGTGGATGATGACAATAGAAAGGAATGGAGTTTATATGATGCTGGTCCCAAATCCATCAAATGTCCTTTAGTTTGTTTTCCTCCAGCCAGTGGTCAAGCAGATATATATTTTAGACAAATATTAGCTCTGACTGCTGTTGGTTTTAGAGTTATATCAGTAAGTAGACCTACTAATTAGTCATCATCTTGATAGTATGTTTCCAGACATATCAGTTTGCCTTCGATAGAATTAATTTAAGTGTCAACAGAGCTATATCTAATCTGAAAGCTCAGAACTTGAAAGAAATAATTGCAATATTTTTCTTGATTTTTTAAGACACATGAATGTAATTGTATTACACATTGCTATGGTACTATTTATTAGCTCATAATATATATCATCTTATTATAGGTAGAATATCCTGTGTATTGGACTATGAAAGAATTTTGTGAAGGTTTTAAGAAATTATTAGATCACCTTCAATTAGACAAGGTATGTCATAGTGTAAAGGTAACATTATAAGCTTATACATTATACAGTATTCTACATAGCTTTTGATACTCAGTCATAGTAATAATTTACCAGTTATCATGAAGTTCTATGGAAGTAAAATATATCTAATATGTAAGATGCTGTGTTGGTATGTTGTTTACATTCATGTTTTGAAATTCATTGATTATACTGTTCATTCTTTATTTTACCATAGGTTCATATTTTTGGAGCTTCCTTGGGAGGATTTTTAGCCCAAAAATTTGCTGAGTATACTTCCCATGCACCACGAGTGGCCTCATTAGTTTTATGCAATTCTTTTTATGACACCAGTATTTTTCAACAAACCAGTTCAGCACCAACGTAAGTGCCTTTTCATTCTGATTCTGATAATGGGAATGATCCCACATTTCGTCCTGATGGGGACTTTTGTTACAGAAGTGTGTCTTGGTAGCATGAGATGAGCTCTACAGAATGATTGACCTCTATTTTTATTCATGATGTTGTAGCCTTCTATGTGCATTGTAAGACATTGCATTAATTGTAAACTGAATTCTAAGTGATTTATAGATATTGGCTTTAAAACTCAAACCTCATTTTGTATAAACCTCTGTTTTAACAATAATGATTAGCTGTTAGCTCAATTGTATTTAATAGGTTTTGGATGATGCCTGCCTTATTTTTAAAGAAGATGGTAATGGGTAATTTTGATAAGGGAATGGTAGACCCAGAAATTGCGGATTCTATAGATTTTCTAGTGAAAAAGGTCAGTGTTAAAGTAGATAACTCTAAGTCATAACTGCATTCATATCAAACTAAGTATTTTACATTGTCCTTATGTTATGTATGAATATCTAGAAAATTACTCAATCAATAATTGTAAAGCAAATGCTTGGATGACTATCTTCCCAAATTTCTATTTGGCTTTATAATTAATGTATTGAACACTGTTTTTCCTTGCTTCATATAATTACAAGTATTTGTAAAGAACATTTATTTTTCAGTTAGATTGTTTATCACAACAAGAATTGGCTTCCAGATTAACATTAAATTGTATGAATTGTTATGTAGAGCCCCATAAATTACAGGGGATACCAATTACTTTAATGGATGTATGTACCTTCTTTTCATTCTTTTTCACCAAGCTTGATTATGTCATATGATAGATTGATTTATAGGATATGATTTTCTAAAAAAGGTGTGGCTATATTTGGCAAAATTAATATTTTAAGTTTTAGAACTATAGTAAGCAACGGTAAATAAAACCAAAAAAATCTTACTGAAATTGGATCAATGTTTACTGTTTCCATCTCCCTGGAATTGAATTGTGAGAATTATCTTGAAGCTTCTGTTATTTCTAATGAAGTTGATTTCACACAGTATTTAATATTGGAAACTTTTTTATCAGGTGTTTGATGAATGTGCACTATCATCAGCTGTAAAAGATGAAATGATGAAGTGTTATCCTGATGCTGTGCGTGCTAGTTTAAAATCAGGAGGCAATTTTCCTTATTTAAGCCGAAGTGGAGAAGTCAATGTCTTTCTACAGGTAAGAAACAAGTTAAAGCTCTCAATAATGTTCATCTTATTGAAATGTATATTTGTTAATTAAACTCTGCAAGATGAATCGACAGATGGAAATAAAATAAAAAAAGTTTTGGCTGTCCTTGTAAAATTTCACACGTCATGACATTGCAAGTCTTCATCAGTTCAATCAGGATCATAATAATGTGCTTTCCTTTTCATTTTATAAATATTGTTAGAGAAATTGATGTCACACTTTCTGACATGCATTATCTCTATAAAGATACTGGGAAGTCGTAGGTACTGGTATTATCATTAAGAAGTCAGATATCATTATGTGTGACCTCATTTTTTTCACTCTATTTTATGAGTTAATTTGTTGATTGTTTATCTTCTAAAAAACATGTTTATCTATTTTCAGATTCATCTGCGTAAATTTAGTGATACTATCAACAAATGTCAAGAAGATGCAAATCCAGAAATATCTACTTCCAGTGAAAAATCATGACAATAATAATGACAATATTGATTTGGATCAAGAAAATAGTTATATAAATATGGTTTTAACTTCTGTTTATTGGATTACCTTGGGAATATTCTTGGCTTATTTTTAAACTAGACAGTGTTAGTAATAATTCATTAATAGAGTGTTATAATTCTCATATCATTTAAACAGTTAATATTTGTAGTGGAAAAATGCAAAACTATTCATTTTCATTGTAGATTATTTTACAGTATCTAAATGATATTAATTCAGCTCAGAGTAGATATAACTGATAAATAGAAATGAAATGAATGGAGTTTTACGTCCTAGTTTTCTGTAACTGATAAATAGAGAGTATAATAATGTATATATATGCCTATTGAACAAGGTTGATTGTAACTTTGATTGTTGAGCATAACATTTAGCTCATGACATCCAGATAACATATTTATATTTTTATTTACATGACATTCCATATTCATCTTGTTTCTTTAAGACAATTCACTGGATTATATTATTTGTAAGATAGATTTCGATTTATTATATAATTATGGGTTAGTTTTAAAAGGATTGAAAGGAGCTTATTCAGCCTCTGTGCATATATAAAGGGTACTTTTATCTCATATTTGTGACAATTGAGGTTTCCCGTCTCATGTCTTGGACTGATAGCACAAGTTATATTCTTGTTCTGTAACTCTGTATATACAAATACAATACAAATTTGAATGCTGCAAATAGAAACTAAAATTAAAAAAATTCAGAGGCTAGATACCTCCTTTGAATTCTCAAGTATTCATCTAATGCTAATGTTGTGTTCTCAAGAGTGAAGAAAGCAATAACATGTAGTATAGAAGTCCCTTTCCTGTTTGTTTGAAGCAGGAACTAAATACCCGCTCTACCAAGTCTAGAGTCTTTTCAAGGAGTGATCTTGCAGAGGAATTATATGTTACTTCTTCTTTGGCCCCTTTTGATATCTGTAAGTTGCCTAAGAACAAAACTCTGTGGTATCCTGTGTTACTAAGGTATTAAAACTATTTTGCAAAGTTTTATTCTAAATGCTTATCTTATTTATATATGCAGAATATTATTACTGGAATAAAGTTTACAGTTTGTTAAAGGAGATTGTTATTGCTTTATTATTCTTTCAATAAGATGGATTCCCTTATTTTCATTTATGTAAATGAAAATGCTAGTACTTGTATGAATAGAAAGTAGATGTGTTCTAATGACTTGGATAAATATCAGTTTGCCTCACATGCCCATAAATAATTCATAATTATCTAAATTAGAAGAGAATTACCAGCAGAATTTCAATTTGTGACTGATCAAGAAGGTCAAAAAGCCTTTTTTTTTTGTTTATCCAGACTGTAGGCTACATATGTGGACATAATGATTGGTTAAAACTCTAAATTATATGCAATAAGAACATCATGATTAAGAATACATGATAATTCATTAGAAACACCAATTAATCAAATAGTTTGCTTAATTTGACACTAAATGAATGTTATATGGGTTATGCTATGCCATACTTGAACATTTCAGGCAATACATCGAGATATAAGAAAATATGGATATCTCTTTCTTTAAAGAGACACGATCACCATCTGTTTGACCAATCGTCTCAGAAACATAAATTCAGATACGTGAACATGCATGATTATCTGTGTTTAATAGTTAAAAAGACATCTTTTCTTGAGACTCTGCCATATATAGAAAAGATATACATATTGTGTTTTGAAGCTTATTTACATATATTCAAGACCTGAATCACCCCCCACCACTCCAAAATGGGGGACCATGGCCCTTAAAGTTATTACACTACTTCTTCTTGCAACTCTTCACATATATAGAATAACTAGTGCAATGTGACCTAAGAAAGGAAATAAGAAAATTTCAGAGAATAACTGATATTAATCACCATAAAACTGGAAGTCAATTTCATTTTGTAAAGGGATACAGATAGCCTAATATAAAACATAAAATTTAATGGTCAATCAAGGTCAATCTATTTAATCAAAGGGATAATTCTCAATCCATTCGAAACAAAAACAACTCAGATTCAATATTTTTCTATATTCTTATACTCCAAGACTGTATCAAACAAACATCAAAAGACTGTTTAATTTGTTAATTAACATCATTAATTTCTAAAATCGTTCAGTAATAATTTGCACTTTCTTTTTTTTCTGCCCAAAGGGTTTTGACAAATGTTTTTGATGGGGTGGCAGCACACGACCATTGTATTCAGCAGGCAACAACTGGTGAAATGGGGCTAATCTCCAACGTCCTTTCAAATATCTTCTCCACAATGTACATTGTCCATCATAGGTACTCATTCGTTTTTCAATGTTATGTTTGTTAATGACCTTCCAACCACTAAAATTAGTCCTTTTTCTTGTGTGTGTTCTCACTTGCTGAACTGTGCCACACCATACTTGCTGTAAAGTTTTATTTAAAGATGCTGGTACCTTCCTATCTAGAATTGCTGATTGTTGTTTAGCGCTAATATTGGATAGTGTTGAAAATTGTGAACATTTGACTGGTAAAATCTGTGTAAAGGGTCTGAAAAGTAAAACAAACGTTTACAATCGGAGATAAAACTGAATGCTTTGGTGAACTGGTGCAATACCTTCTATAGCCTGGAACCCTTCTGGTCTGGCACTAGATAGATCAAGACATAGCACTGTACTGTATACTGTTCTATGATCAAGATGACTTATTTGGTAGAAACAAGTTTTGAGAGTGTAGGCCTTCTAATTGCACCATCTTCTGATTTCCTGTCTAACAAATATGTATATCTTGACATGACATTAAAATGGTGCAAATTTGCAAAATAATAAAAGCAACAGATCTAGCTAACCTCAAAAGAGACTTGATACATGTTTTGAGAATCATGTTCACCAACTAGGCCGGAAGTATCTAGCGTAATAATATGAAGTTTGCCATAAAATCATTCAAATTGACATTTTGTTTTCAATTAAATCATCGGCCAGAGACAGTGCGCTGTGGATACACCGATTTGATGAAATATTGATATTTATTTAACAGGAAACGAAATCGGGCTAATTTCTAATGTGAGACTTTCATCATTTACTGACATTTTCTGAAAATGTAAAAAAAAAAAATACCTTTGTCCTAAAATATTTATCTGGTCAGAAATTGTATTATAAACATCAATTTATACCATTGGCTTCGGTTTTTTATTATGTACACGATCTCCACATTATTTTTTGCTATGTGCGCAGCCAGCTAATAACAACAAATGGACCACTGGCCTGAATTCAAGATTCAATTTCGTCTCAATAAAGAGTTTCAATTTTATTTTGGGGTTTCCAGTCTATTTCTGCTTTAGGATTATGACTGTTTGCATTTACTTTGAAATGTTACAAGTATTTCTGAGTGAAACCTCTGTTGTTTTGCTTTAATGGAATTCTGTGACTAGAACTATTTCATTAGTGGATGTTTCCGGAAATTGTGAAACGACGTTGTTTACATAGACAACTCAAGAGGTAAACACCTCTATCGAATTTCTTGAATTGGGAAACCAATTACAAAAAACGGCACTTAACCTGCAAGTATTTATTCAAATAAATAAAGGCCATGGGTTTTTACTTTTTATTGACTGAAAGTTGTTGAGTTGACGTGCAGGGACATGCCCAACAACGTTCTATAATAGGCCTACGTTTATAGACGTCTATAACTTATAACTACTAAACTAGCCTATTTGTTCTTGTTTTTGATATTTTATATACAGTCTCTGCAAGAATGCAAGTTGGTTGGATCACATTTTGCCCATGATTGTTTATGATAGCATAGTGTAATAAGGCTTACATAAATTCACAAGTGTCTACGGAATGATTATAGTGGCCTATGGTAAATGATTAATACAAACTATATTGAGGGTAGGCCTAAGCCTAGCATATGATCTGTTTTAAAAAAAACAAGAAAGAATGATGTAAAAAAAATCCTTTTTAGATTGAAAGAGCAACGTAAGCCATGTTTTAACAAGATGAACCTCATGGCCAAAGCCACAACACATTCTATTAGCCAATTATCAGGATCTTGAGTTGTCTCATTCAAACTCATTGAAGTCGTCATAAGACCATTTCCAACCATGTTTTGATCATCTCTGTTACCTGTTAACTTGGCTATATAAGCTGACATTGTAAATAATTAAGTAAGGTTTAGCCTAAATAAGATTTTGTCTTTGTCACTTTTGTAGAGTAATGGCAATAACAACTGATATTTAATGGTAAAAAGATGGTGGTAATGTTCCAAATATGTCGGGATGTTGTTACAGTTCTAAACAAGTCAGCCCAGCACCATGGGATAGTATCAATAATCATTTGGTAGAAATTCGACCAAAACGACTTTTACACATCAAACACATCAATCCTAGACCGAGAGATGAACAGTTTGCTAAAGAACTGCAAACGTTTCTTCAGTATAGGAAGAAGGGTGTTGGTTCAGAGGGACCAATGATGATACCCAAAAAACCACTAAAAGTATCACTGGATCAGAATCCAATCCATTCTAACAGTTCATCTAATACTCAACCTGGAGTGCCATTAATAAATAAAAACTTTCTAGATTTAAAGACTAGAGATCAAACACCAGATTCCATCTATTCAACAACTGAAGACAGGAAAACATTGATCTCATCCTCAGGAATAGATGTCTCAGTTCATTCACCCATAGAACTAGCTGATCACAACAAACCTAATAAACTATCCACAACAGTCAACCCATCCTCTTCACAACGACAAGATAACAACTCAGTTTTATTCTTTATTCATGGTGTTGGTGGCTCATCAGATATTTGGAAATCTCAGATTGACTATTTTAGAAAATTGGGATATGAAATCGTTGCTCCCGATTTAATAGGACATGGTTTGAGTTGTGCACCAAAAGATTTAAAGAGTTATCATTTTGACCAGATTGCTGCTGATATAGAAGAGATTTTTGATAAATATTGTAAAAGAAACAATGTTGTTATTGGACATTCCTATGGGTATGTTGATTTTTGTATAACATTTATTTATGTCTTAATAGATCTCATGAAAGTATACAAATATTGGTAAGATTGCTGACAAGTTCTATATTCGAGTAAGGCATTTGCCGTTGACTTGGCAATTGTGAGACAAAATTCACCTGACAACTGAGAATGCAGTTTTGATTGGATTTTGCTTATTTATTTTACTGAGATTATGTGTTAGGGTGATATGAGAAAAAAATTCACATAAAAAGCATTCGTTGATAATTAATTCATGAGTTATTTCCCTTAAAATAGCATCTTAACGGAATATGTTTCAAAATTGACTTGTATATAGAAGACAATTTTGTAGTGGACATAGCATTAGCTGCTGTGTAGTGCGATAGCCTTAGTACAGGCAACCATTCATTCAGTTTGCTCTGCATTCATCATCATAATGTTCAACTCTCAAAACATATTATATTTTTACTCAGTTATCCCCCTATCACAACTTCAAATATTCTTGGAAATATTTCAAAAACTGACCAATGAAATCTAATTGTTGCTCATTCTTATATTTTCAGATGTTCCTTTGCAGCATTTTTAGCCCGAAACAGAACGCGGAGAGTCACTAAGTTGGTAATGATAAGTGGTGGAGGACCAATACCTCTAGCACCCCAAACTAATGTATTTTCTCTACCAGTCTCAATATTATCCTGTCTCAGACCATGTGTTCAGTGTAAATATGAAAGGTGATATTTTGATAACAAAAAGCCACTATAAAAAGCTATGAAATAAATTTTGATGGAAAATAGTCATGATTGGTTATGAAGAAATATATCGAGAAAATGAGTACATACTCCCTTTTTTGAGGGAGCAGTCAGTTGTATGCATTTTCTTGGTTCTAGTCAATCATCTTTCTTCATAATTCCAGTCAATCCAGCTGTGTAGGTCAGATAAACTGGAAAAAGTCCATGTAATTGGTTAGACCAAGAAACAGCTGGAAAAAAATCCTCAAGATTTTATCCCTGTAAAATCTGGTTGTTTTTTTTTTTGCTCTTTAGAATACATGTTTCAGTATTAATTAATTTTATTAATAAAAGTAACATTTTATTTATAGGAGCGCATTTAGTCAATCAAAGAAACCAGATAAATTATCATATGAAGCATTTTCAATACCAACTTATGTTTTAAGTAATATAATGAAAGGTCAGATTTGGTCAGATGGTGATGAGTTTTATCACAACTGGATAGTTAGTCCTACTTTGTTAATTTATGGTCAACAAGACAAACTGATTACATTGAGGGAAGAAGAAAGGATGAGAGAGGTACGCTTTAAAGAGGAAATTTTTGCTAAATTATTTTTGGCTGTCTTCTTTAGCCAATTTACTTGCATTTTGAATAAGTTCATAAGCAATCTGGCATGCATTTAGTCAGTTCTCTTTGTCCAGGATTGACTTACCATCAGAGCTGAATAAAATAAATAAATAAATAGCTAGAAATATTAAAACAGAACTTAAAAAACATGTTTTTTGTTACTCGCTGTGGGATTTTCAGGCTATAATATTTGTTTAAATTTAGACCAATTTAAATATATTTTCAGGCTATATATAACTGTGAGTTGCAAGTTTTACCAGAAGCAGGACACATGGTGATGTTGGAAGAACCAGAAACTGTTAATAAACTTCTCCACGAATTTCTATTGCAAGATTTTAGATTGGAAGGCAATTTAACCGAGATTAAGAATGAAATTCAGGAGAGAAGTAAGAGTAGATCATCAATACGGTCTACCAAATCAGTCAAAAGCATACCTGACTTGTAAATTTGAATTCCAAAGGAGCTCAACTCAGATTTGATTTGCACGTCTGTTTCTAGCATCTACTTATTCACTGCACCTTGCATTAGTTAAAGGAATACTATTAGCTATTTATGTGTGCCATTGTAAAGGTTAAGTATGTCATCTGTATGGAGAAAACAAGAGATTAGAGGGACAGGTGTATCGTATCTAGGGAATTAATAATGTTCACAGCTTACATTCTAAGCTTCAAATCCAAGTGTATCCATAATTATCTATGTTTGAAAGATATTTTTACAGTAGTAGTACTGAAGACTATTTAAATATATTTAAGGTCAAAATCAACCTCCGAAAATGCCATCCTGTTCCTTTAAAGGAAAATGAAGTTAAAATCTAATATTTCAAACTATGATTATGATTATACAACAATTGGCATACATGAATAAAGTGGTTGGATCATGAGATGGCAAAGACTGACATCACTAGGTGTCTGTTAAAGAGTAAGCCTTGTCTGCACTGTAACTAATAAGATTTCATATCACTGTTGAATCAATTTCTCATGTTTATTTACTTTGAATGTCAATGCAATGTGGATAGAGAACATCATAATCTCATTCTTGTTGAGGAGACTGTTCAGAATTCAGTCAAGCCTCAGCCAATGATTTGCAGAATTAAATTTACTGATTGTTTATCTACGTTTGTTCAATATATTGTTTTGTGTAATTATCTGTGATCACATCTATATTTTTTTTATGATTCACAATTGTTATTGTTGAGAGAATATATAATTTTCTAAAAAAGTTTTCATTTTTCAATGATTAAAAAAACACCAATTATAGTCCTCGAAGGATAAATGCATTTACATCTAGAGAGTTGAAAAGACATGGTTATTTCCATCTTAATGTATTTATATCAATGTAGAGTTTACCAGATTTAAGCCCCTTTTACTCCAGGCTGAGAGGTATTATTTACATTCCAATAATCAAGTGCTATATAAGAAGTTATTAAATTGTTATGTACTGTGTTATGAAAAAGTTCACATTAATCTATTGAATTGGATCTCAGAAAGCTTGACTGTTTACATGACCCAAATTCAACCATTCCATTGATATATGCACAGGGTTATTCAATCCACTACATGTATATCTGTAGAGTTAACTAGAAATAATATTATATATAAACTGCTATTTCAATCAAATAATCATTCAAGTTTGATCTACCAGCCACAGTGTGAAGATCGAAAGTGCTCAATAAAAAGATGTACTACACAAAAATACCTTAAAACCCATTTAATCTTTATTTAAATGTAAATGATTTAAACCTGAAGCATTCACATACATTATCATTCATAACAATTGAAGACAAATAAGAGAAAAAAAAATAATGGACAGAAAATTAAAGACAAGAAATGAAAAACACATAGAACTAAAATGGTCACAATTCACTGAGTCACTATAAGATGATTTACACTATTCACAATAGTTTTTGAAAGACAATCGGAGCCAACTACTACATCGTCAGTTAGCAGGTTACTTTTCTTCTAAATAACAGTATGTGAGGCTCTGAAATAAAAAGAAATATCACAAGTAAGAGGCTATGCACAAAAGATCAAGTTTGGCAATGAAAAAAAAAGCTAATCAGAAAATATTACTCATTCACAGAAACTAGTCGTAATATCTAATTTCTATGCCGCAGATCCAGTGAAGAGTTCATTGTTTCATAAGAAAAGGAGGCAAAAAACTAAGTCAATGAAGCGACAAAACGGTGTTGCATACAGAGCACTTTATGTGTATATTCACAACACGCCAATTTCCTTCTTCCACCTCAGGGTAAACAATGTTGATTTTACATGGTAGTCTTCTATGGCAAGCAAAGAAAAAGGGATAATATATAGCATGTCCTACATTGACAGTTCTATGTAGTAAACCCTTCGTGCCATGACGTTTAATCGACGTTGATCATCCAGAGGCAGAAATAGGGAACTAGGCTAGCGTGTTGAGCATGCTCACTTAATACACATGTAAACTGGGACTGGAGGACATAAGAATTTCAAGTACCGGTTATGTATGATCTCATTCTAGATTGTAAGTTTCAAGCTTGACCAAGCCTAGGCCTAAAAGGTAAAATTGCTAAAAATCAGCATTAGATTTGGAAGCTTGAAAAAGAACATGACAATGAACATACCAGGTTCATGTTTCATATAGTGAATCCAACCATGACTCTGCTGTACACCAATACTTCTCCACTCAGCCTCTGACATCAAATGATTTTTTGGCACCATTTTGGCAACATCTTTGGGCAGCATAACGTGTCTACAAAGAGAAAAAAATTATGTCTACTTTAGCCTCTTTACTGTATTAATTGATCATTGACCAGACAAAAAAGATAAAATAAAAAATTGGAAAATCATTTTTATGGTAGATTTAGGATGACACTCTCCAACGTCGATTTTTTTTCCGACTGATAAGCCTACATTCATAATTCATATTATCCGCCTTGACAAATCATGCTTTGACAAGTTCTTTTTCTTCCTTCGCCAATTCCAAATAGGCCCTAGTTGTTTCAAATTCTTGAAATGCGAGAATCAATTCCTTGTTTAAATCATGCACTCACCTATATTCGAATTCCTCGTCGAAATATTTATCAGAGTAGTAAATTTGCCTTGTCGACATGATTGCCTTTTCTCGTTTGTTCAACTTCGACCATACCACAAGAGGAATCTTTAAACTGCCCTCGCTTTCGACCAGAGTCAAAGGTTTAAAAATGAGAAACTATCATTTCATTGGACAACAATCAGGGACGTCACACGCACCTGCTCTTTTTATTGGCTAAATGGAAATTTGTTTATTCCTTTATATTTCTTAACTTTTTTTAATATACCGAAATATTATAATCATTTCGAAAAATCTATCTTGGATTAAACATCTAATAATAGATGTTAAGATTTAAGAAATTTCAAAAGAACTCTTAAAACGAATATTGAAAACATGGCCGAATGTTTACACAGGTTTCGTACAAATTTATAAAAAACAATTCAAAACCGAATCATTGGATTCATCCGAAATCATTCGTTTATTTCATTTCATTATTATGATCGTGTTATGCCTTTAAAGTAGTAATAGTATTTTTCTGAAATCCATATTTGTAGGTTATCAAAAAGATTTAAATCATATATCAAATTCAAGTCACGCATTAAAAATTTATTCGACTTGACTGTTTTGGACTTCAATGGCCGATTGGAAATCTTACTTTCATTTTTTCAATAGCGGGAAATCAATATTTATAAACCTAAAATGACACAATTAAACTCAAGTCACAGACGGTTTCTTCAATCCTTTATGTCAAGATCAGTTTTAGATGCTAAAGATGTCAAGCACTTATATAAAAATGAATGTGGTGGTAAGTAAATGTAAAAAAAGGAAACATTTATTTTGTGAGTTTGGTGAGATGATGGCAGAAGAAAAGTGTATTCTTGTTTTATTTTATATTATTACAAACTCACTGTTAGACTCACCATAGACATAAGACAACACTATGGATTTGATCAGTGTTAATGGTCAATGATCAGTTTTATTGTGTGATTGATGAATTATAATATAAAACTTTTATATTATTATTCATCAATCTCAAAAATAGGTTGTTGTTCTTGCTGAAGTTTATTAAAATAGGAAACAATATCGAATTATTAACACTGGATGAACTTTGACTTAACTAAAGCCAGAGACATGTTGTTTTACCAGAGGGCAGCAGATTGAGTCCAATATCTCAGATCTGTATCAATGTACGTTTGAAAAAGAAGTCAATTATTTAGAAGCCTAGATCTATACCAGTATCTTATTAGTTACGATTATTTATTACAGAGGTATACAGTTCTGTTGAAGAAGAAAGCAGGCGTAATTTTACTGAATTTGTAATTACGGTCAATAATAGCATAAAACCTTTCCATATGGAAATTAAGAAGGGTTTTAGTGAAGAAGATGGAACTAACTATTACTGCTTGGTGAGTCATATCTCTAAAATGTAGAAATATGTTGTTGGTAACATCGGTATGTGAAATATTTATTTAACTATTTTACATTTTAAAATTACAGCTATTGGGATACAAATCAGGATCCCCTTTATAAATTTAGACATGGAGTAAAGTATGTGTTTATTCCACCCATACAGGATGTTGAATAAATTAATTGTTCCCATTGTTAATATAAGACACAGGGTATAGTTACAACAGCCTTAATTTGAAATAAATTTTCTATAGTTACCATACAGTTTTTGTCACACCATCCTACCATTCATTATACTTAAAATCACTTTCCTCAAAAATCCTGCTGATGATTTAGCCCGAAGTTCATGCCTGCAGCAACACCTCATTAATGCGGTGCTTATATCTTTGTACAATTGTAGGTGAGTACAAGTGATACGGGTATAACAAAATTGGCTTCAGAATACACACCAACAGAACTGGAATATTATAAGAAATTGGTAAGAAAGCTTAATATTAAAGTTATACCATTCTTTCTGTTATTAATCATATTCTGATCATTACTTTACAAACATTTTAAATAACACCAGGTAAGAAGAGTATGATATTGCTTTTAGTTAGCCCAAGACTTTCAACAGAATCTAGCCCTTTAGATAGGAGATAAATATTTCCAATCTTTGAAGAAACAAATAATAGTTGAAAAACATATGTGTTCGATCCTTTTTGCTATTGAATGTTTATCAAAATGCAATGAGATGTAATTTCAAAGGTTTTGTAGCCTTTTAAATAATTCAAAAAATGTTTTTTATTACTTTGCAGATAGAGACCATAGTAGAAACAGAAGAAGGATATATTGGGTCCATGGAAGCTTTGAATCTTGTGGAACATTTAACAAAAACAAAAAAGATGACCAAAACTGATGCAGAGAATTTGTTACAGAGACTACAAGAAAGTAAATGGGTTACAGTTGTGAGTACAATTTATATCATTTATAATTACATGAATTTATAACTTCTGGTATAAGGGCTTAATTGGCATTCTTGTTATTTGTCTATGGTGTTAAAATGAAAAGCTAGATGTTTTGTTGTCTGGTTTTCTCAGTCTTACTACATTCACCTGTATCATCTGACAAAATTATTTTTTTATATAATGTTCAGCCATATTTTGATCCGTTTCTGTCAAAAAACAAAAACAAAAACGCTAATATACAAGTGGGCAAACATAACAAAAAACTTGCAGCGCAGCCTAAAGTTTTGAAGAATATAAAGGCCTACAAACATTATCATACTAATAATATAATGTAAAAAACTCTGTGTTTTCATTGTAGAAAAATGGTGAAATATCTTTATCAACAAGAACTATATTAGAATTAGAAATGTACATAAAAGATACATATCCTGAAATTACCAAGCTTTGTGAAATATGTAAAAAATTATGTATTAAGGTACTTTTTATACGCCGACATTAAATGGGGGTCATATATTGCCGTCACCTATGTCCGGCAGTCCGTCCTTCGGTCCATCCACAATTGCTTGTAAACACTCTAGAAGGCACAATTCTTGCAGATTATTATGAAACTTTGCATGAGTGTTTGTTATCACCCAAGGATAAACCCTATTGAAAGTCAGAAAAATTGAAAAATATTTAGTATGAGTTATTGCCCTTGTTCTTGAAAACTCGTTCAATTTAATAACTCATACTCAATATTATTCAGTATTGCCTCAAAGAGTTCAAAAGAAGTGTATGTCTGTAGGTTGAATATATCATACTGGTGATTGTTACTGTACTGCCAAATATTTTTATTCAAAATCAAAGCTGCCAGTGGGCGCATATTACCTTACCAGTAATAGTTTTCCAACTTGTATATATTTCTCAAAATATAAATTTGAACAGACAATATTTAGCCATTGAAGATGATAAAATGCTAGTTATCTCCCTTCTATAGAAATGTGAAGAAATCCTTCATTATTTCTACTTCCAGGGCCAGTCTTGTGATGATTGTGGTGTCAAATTACACATCAGATGTGCAACCAATATATTTTCAAAACAAACTCAAAGAAAATGTCCAGGACAGAACTGTAATGCAGCTTGGGTACATGATATTATTACGAAAGGTTAGTGTATTATTTAGAGGAATACTATCATCTAAATTTTGCCTTAGCAGCACTAGTGCTCTTTTTGGATTCAGATTCTAAATATCTTAAGAATTTTTATATCACCATTAATAAAAAAGATCAGTATTAGTTGTTATTTTTTAAATAATAACCAAAAATGTTTCTTATCTTGGACAGATTTCTTTATTAGCATGATAATGTTTATCAAATTAAGATATAAGGTAATCCCTTTCCCTTATTATTCAGATGCTCCTGCTAGTCAGTTAACTCAACAAGAAAATGTTCCTAATAGTCAAACCAGAAAGAGAAAAGTTAGACATTGAGATGTATCTATCATATTGTAAATATTAAAAATATTATGTAAATTTTGATAAACTATAGTCAAACAAGGGATAATTATGTACATCTAGAGATGATTCATTGAAAGGATGGAGACACATAACTACAAGACCCAATATTCAACTCGTGCATAGCACAGTATATAGTCATACTCTGATTATCTGACAGCTCATAATCATTAAACTCTGATTAACTGACAGTTCTTTAATATCACACTCTGATTATTTGACTGCTCTATATTATCATACTCTGATAATCTCCTTATTATCATACTTTTAGTATCAGATAACTCAATATTATTATACTCTGATTATTTGACCGATCTATATTATCATACCCTGATAATCTGACAGGTCAATATATCAATATTCAGATTATCTGACAGGGCCATATTATCATACTCTGATTATCTGACAGAACCATTTTTTCATACACTGATAATCTGACAGGTCAATGTTATACACTGATAATTTAGTATTATCATACTCTGATTATCTGACAACTCAATATCATCATACACTGATAATCTGACAGCTTAATGTAATCATACCTTGATAATCTGACAGGTCAATATATCCATATTCTGAGTATCTGACAGCGCCATATTACCATACTCTGATTATCTGACAGAGCCATACTATCATACACTGATAATCTGATAGGTCAATTTTATACACTGATAATCTAGTATTATCATACTCTGATAATCTGACCGCACCATAATTTCATACTTCGATTATCTGAGTTCTCACTATTTTCCCACTTATTATCTGACAGATCAACAATATCATAAACAGATAACAGATCAGTATTATCATACCGTGATTACCTAACAGCTCTTTGTTATCACTCTGATAATCTGACAGCCCAATGTAATCACACGTGATAATCTGACAGTTTCAACAATATCATTCTCTGATTATCTGACAGTTCTAGTAATATCTTACTTTGATAATCTAACAGCACAACATCATTATACTCTGACAATCTGACAGCACAATATCGTTATACTCTGATATACTTATGATAATCTGACAGCTCAATAGTATCATACTCCGATTATATAATCTGGCAATACAGATAGGTCATTAATGATGTCTACATTGATAGTTGGTTACTGGATGCTTATCGTCTCTAAAGCCAGTAATTACCATCATTTAACAAACCGACATGTAACATTGTAAAATCAGGGTAAAATCAACCCAGGGTTGAAAAGTTGAAGTCTCTTGACGACATATGCGGGGGTGTTTTTAGAAACCATCTGAGGTAACCATGCTGTTGATGACAATTGTCAAAATGTTGAGGGTGATACTAATGCTACTTTTAATAATTACAATTCAAACAGGGTATCTCAAGACTTGTTTGTTGTTGGATTTTTCAACAAACCACATTCAAGTTACAAAGACTAATAGTTTCAGCAGTAGAAACGACTGTTACATTAATTGCATGCACATAGAGTTATTAATTACTTAAGCTATCACTTTATTGCTGATCTGGCTTTTTTCACGAGCGATCAGTGGCTCCTGATTATTCAAAGTATATTGATGTTCAAATTCATCAAATAGATTTCATATCTTAACCACTCCAGCCGTGGTGGCTCTGTGAGTTAGACGCTTGCTCGTTAACCTGAAGGTCCAGGGTTCAATCCCGGCATAGGTCAAGATAATACCTTGATTTTTTAACCCGGTTTCACTTGATGCAGGGGAGAGGGGCTGATATGGAAAAAGCGTCTAGTCGTTCAGATGGGACAATAAACTGAACCCCCTGTGCACGTTAAAGATCCCTCGACAGTTGGAAATCGAAAAAGAGCAGGCTAATGCCGCTGTGCTGGCAAAATGTCCCTCATTGCACCCGGCATGGCGTTGCCCGTCTTCATTAACCCACATGGTGCAGAAATGTAGGATGTAAAACTCATTTCATTTAACCACTCCAGTACCTTCTTCGAAAAAGTAGTCCTCCGTTTAATTCCTATCGGATGTCAACAATGGACAATTAAGTGAACAACACTTGGGAGAAGAAAAATATCTGTGATATTAATAAGAATGTAGATAGCTCGGATCAATTTATTTCAAATTCATGTCTTTTGTAAAAAAGTGGCAAGTACAATTCTCATGAACGTCATGTCAAGTGTTACCATTTCCTCTAAATTCATTGCGGTAAATTTCTGCGCCGAAAACAATAAAATCAATAACATATCTCAAGATCTCTTGAAATATTAACAGGGTAAAACATTAAACGTCTAAGGCGCAGCCTGGATGTGAACCAACCTACTGTATCTTGGCTTAAAACCCCTTCACCCTTCAAACCACGAGGTTTCAATTTGTAAAAATGTTATTTGTACGAGATTAATTTTCAGGCCGCGGGGAAAGACTTATTTCTCGCTTTCAATTCTGTAAGGATTCTTCGGAACACAGTGGCTCATAGCCTTGACATTTATTCATTTACAAAATTTACTTTCATTACAAGTTTTTATACATAGAACATTCAAAGCCATAAAGTTGGGAATTTAACGATTGAAAGATTTGGTTTGTCTTTTAAGCTTAACTTTAATGCTTTATGAATGAACTTTCTGACATCACGAAGGCTGCATGCTGCTTAAATAAAAAAAAAAACAGCCGTAATGTCAATCAAAACGTTGAAAGAAAAACTTATTTTACTTTATATTTCTAATCTATACAGTATATCAGCATAAAGTTGCAGTCTCTGGCTGGTAAATGCTTGACAGTTTTCGGCTAGTGGCAATTTTATACCGACATTAATTTTCCAAATCATTTCAGCAAGAAAAGTAAACAAAGGACCGTAGTTTACAAGAATCACATCTAAGGTTAAGTTTATCTGGTTCTAGGACAAACCTCTTCGTAATCATCATGACGTTTGAAATAATGCGAAAATGGTATTTAAGAGATCACCAGACTTTCACATGCAAGCTGACTGATAAAAAACTACACTATTACCATTGAAGTATAAATTTGCAGTTCAATCGAATCATTGAAAATTTTAAACCTATCCATCATGGAAAGACGAAGTTTAATTTATCTTTCTACTCTCAATCATTTATTCAATGGCTTTACAAAAATTGTGTAATACAACTGAAAAACTCATACTGAGATATTCGTGCTTCATTATTTGAGAAACATTTTAGCTTTTAAAATTATTTCCTCCTTCAAGAGGACGAAATTTAATTGAAAGTTTTATCAAAAAGAGTGATGTAGATGTCAAACGTCTAGCTATTAATGCAGATAATTGGAAGAAATATAAGAAAGATATAGATTTTTTTCACTATGTTCCCTGCTATTTATTATCTTATCTTAAGAGACAGAGACGATAGTGTCTCTTGATGAAATTAAACATGTCGCCGGTGGGAGTAAAAAATAAAATAGATTCTTGCCAGTCTGTCGTATCTTTCTCCACACTTCTCCGGAGAATGTTAATAATATGAAAAGTTAATTGAGAAAGAAATATATTTCCCTGGATACTTTCTGACTGAAATGGCTGTTATTACTTGTTAATTATCAGTGTCAGTACTGTCTTCAACAACTTATATTTATCACCATTATACTCAGAAATTTACCAGAATTCAGAAATAGGTTGTTCCACACATTATGACGTCACAAATTATTTTCCAAATAGGAGAAAGCCAAAATTTGCTACTTTTTTATCCTTGAAATGAGGTCGAGCTGTGTGATCATCAGGGTTATCGTTCAGATGAAAAGTTAGCCTCTGATCGGGATCTTTTCTAAGGATAGAATTAGTGTCTGGAACTGTCCTATAACTCTTTTATTCTACACGGATTAATATTGAAGGAATACCGGAAATTGGATTAGAGCTTCATCTTAATCTGAAGTAGGAGTTTTGAAGATATATACATTCGATTATTTCAGTCTGTACATATATACCTTGCTCTATGTGTTATTTGTTTAGACTGAGCTGAGTTGAATTTTTTAGTGTGTCTTTTCGTGATTATCCGAAACGACAATTCAAAAATAGAGTTTATTGAAATAATGAGAAATGGAAATCTGATAAACTGAAGCTGACAGATTTTATCAACTAAAATAAGAACTACCGACCACTATTTTTTCATTGTAACCGTATATTGTGAACTAGCATTGTATGAGACCACATCTTCTGTTCTTGTTACATACAACAACGCAAAAAACTAAAAATCTTCCTTCTTTATAAGTATATTAACTTTTAACTATTTATTTAAAATTTGGAAGCCATAAAGGTAGTGAATGTATTGAAAATTACGAGTTTGAAACAAAACTGCACGTGTTCTATATGAGGTTACCCACCAAAAGTGGGTTTTGACATATATCATAATTATTCTACGAGAATATAAAACTTATTTAAGTTCCAACCAGCTGCTGAAACAAAACAAAAATCGTGATTCATTAATGTGCATGATCTTTCTTTGGAGCATCAATTTCATTTTTTTCTATTTAATGCGACAGGGAAAGTTAGTTAAAGTTAGGTATAATAATTGAATAATAGTAACTAAATGACACTGTCTTCGATATATGGCTTAATCAATTACATTTAATACATTTAACGTGATGGGCGGTATTTCTTTTTCAGTAAACAGTTCAATTTTAACTTTAAAAAGATAGCTTGGCGCACCATCACAAATCATCATATGTTATTTTTAGGTTTTTATTTTAACCCTTTCCTTCCATCTTAACCTGTTACCTAATACAACATTACTCTTTGTTCACATATACTGATATGAAGAATAACTATCTACAAGTGAAAAATCTTTTTCACATAGCCAACCTAAAGCGAGATAACACATTCCGGATAAATAATGTCACATTGACAACACAACCATCATCCAAGAGACAACACAATCTTCTACAAACTAAACATCACAGTTACCTGCACCAGGACAACCCAACGATCTACCATATTGGCATCACCATCATCTTTGATCAAGACAACGCAACCATCTGTCGCCAAGACAGCATAACACGTCTTCACTAAGGTATTATCATCTTTCTCCAAAACATTATTACTTTTACCAAGACAAAACAACCATACTTCACTGAGACATCACCAACATTTTTCACCAAGACAATACAACCATCCTTCACTGAGATATCAGCAACATTTTGCACCAAGACTACGCAACTTTCCTTCACTGAGATGAGATATCACCAACATTTTTCACCAATACAATACAACCACCCTTCACTGAGACATCACCAACATTTTTCACCAAGACAATACAACCATCCTTCTCTGAGACATCATCAACATTTTTCACCAAGACATTACAACCATCCATCAATGAGACATCACCAAGATTTTTCAACATGACAGCTCAACCATCCTTCACTGAGACATCACCAAGATTTTTCAGCAAGGCATCACAACCATCCTTCACTGAGATATCACCAACATTTTTCACCCAGACAACAGAACCACCGTTTACTGAGACATTGCCATCGTCCACCAAGACAGCACTACCATTCTACACAGAGAAATTACCATCTTTCACCAAGACAACATAACCATATACCAATGGCCAAAACAATCGCATACATCCAAAAATTTACTTTGTAATGTACGTTAGTACTATGCCTTTGAAATAATGTGGGGTACATACAAAACTGTAAACTCTGCTCAGTGGACACGCATAAAGTTTACAAACCATGATGCTGTACCCCCACTGGTGCCGCCACTGAGTCAATGACGTAAATGGTCACAGGGTACTGTATCAAAAATCAATCAAATAACCTATAGACTTGTACCACACGTTTCTTAATAAGCAGATTTAATTAGAAGGCCAATCATCGGAAATCAAATCATCGTATTGGTCTAATCTGATTCCCTCGTTGAAGGAATTGGTATTAGTAGGTTAAATGGTACTCGATGAAATTATTTGTCCAATCTCAACGTGGCAGTAATGATGCTAATATTTCTGAAGTGATTGGATATTGATTTAGTTGTAAATTAGATCATGTCGAAATCTCTATATTTTTGTATGATATTACTTGTCAAATTAGATATTCCGATCAATAGAGTATAAATCGGTAGAATTTCACTTGAGATATCAAATCAGATCAAATGGAGGAAAGCAATACCCAGAAGTATCGACAGGAAGACGTTACTCTTTTTTAAACACGAGAACAAACTATGCGACTGAACTTTGTTACATGGATGTGTTGATGGTATTTGTATCTCTATTTGTATCTTTTATACAGAAAAAAAGATAAAACTTGCCAATTGTCCCTGTTGACTTACAAAAGATGACTGATACAACCAACCTATCTTTTCATAGAAAATAGCTCCAGGATAAAGTGTCACCTTTCTTAAACCTCGTACAAAAATCTACGACATGAGCTGTTCTTTTCGAAAGCTCAAATTTTTGAATTTCGAATTTGATATTTTCTTTTTGACTCTATAAAAATACTTCTGAATTTATAAACATACTTTGTAATAACTTTTGACTTTGAAAATTAGTTAGTAAATTTTTATGCATCATAATGTTTCATGGAATCGAGGCCTGTGCCAAACTAGATTGACATATCTGCGTTCCCTACCACCGGCATTAAAGGATAAATTAACATTGTTTGAGACTGTGCATAATAATCATTCAACCCCAAAGCAGTTGAGGTCAGCTAGACATTCCCAAAGTTATATGACCAAATTCAAAATGATTTCAGCATCATCAGCATAAAGTAGTCACAGACATATTGAATTTCAAACACAAAAATTTTTTTTTTTGAAATTCAAAAATATTTTCACAAATTCAAAGATATTTTTACTAATTCGAAAGTATTTTTTACGAATTCAAAAATGTTCTGACAAATTTAAAAAGTACTTTTGCCAATTCAAAAGCAATTTTTTCAAATTCAAAAAGTAGGCTATTTCTTTCAAATTTAAAAAGTAGGCTATTTCTTTCAAATTTAAAAAGTAGGCTATTTCTTTCAAATTTAAAAAGTAGGCTATTTCTTTCAAATTTAAAAAGGAGGCTATTTCTTTCAAATTTAAAAAGGAGGCCATTTTTCCGTTTCAAAATCCAATTCAAAAGTATTTTTTCAAATTAGAAATTCAAAATTCAAAACCATTTCGTTCTAAGCCTTTTTGTGGCTTGTTAAATACTCATTGGTTAAGCAATTAACAATGAATTAGTATTCCGACGAAAGTTGATCTAGTTTCCTGTTTTCCTAACCACTAGAATTGAAATGTCTGGAGATCGTGCTATTCAAATGGCGTTACTTTCATGGGTAATATCAATTCCTTCTCAAAGAATAATTAACAATCGGATGTGAGATTTCCATTACGAAACGTGTTATGAGTATCAATTATAAAATTCAATTTCAAGTGTTTGTCAAGATGGAACCCGCCACATCGGTATTTATCATCATTAAACGTTGTCATTGCTTAGAAACAATAACATTGTCTCATGAAATATTGACTATGGTCCCAGAAGCTCCAATTGTGTTCTGTCTTCTGTTAAATTGTGTTATTTCACTGCACGTTATCTCCAAATCAAGCGACATCAATCCTATATTGTAGAAATACTAAGTGATATATTTTCGTAAATCATAAATAAATAACTTCGATTGAAACAATTTTATTAAACATGCGTTAACTACTCTCACGATTCAGAAATATGATATTAAGCCTGTCACGATGCATTCCATTAAACTGTAGCAAGGTATACGTGGAGTGGATACCTATTACTTAAATTGCCCACAAGAGAGCCACAAAGGAAGACACAAATGGTAGGCCTATTATTTACCAGAATATTTGGTTGGTTTAGTTTAGGTTCAGGTGCTAGTGAAAGTAAGCATGGACATTAAAAAATATGTACAAATGGGTGATATCTGTCTGCCTGCCACTGTTCAAAGTACCTGCCAGGTCGAGGTCCAGGTGCATGCTTCTTCTAGAAAATAATGATTGTACAAAAGGGTTTGTGATGTCTTCTGTTTTTGCCTGTTACTGCTCGAATTCAACGAACACAAGTCTACAAAGTAAGATTGTATACGCTTCGATAGTATTTTGATTTGATTGACTTGGATTGAATTTCCGACCTGCAATAATAGAATACGTTTAGAGCAGTTTTAATATTAATAGATGATAACGATCATATTACCAATTGTACAGCATTAGCCCAGAGGAAATACAATACTAATAGAAATTGTAGTTGATCATAAAAGTCTTACTAATTGATAATTATGAATATTCAATGATATATTGGTATACTGGGATATCAAATCTCTCATTCTCATATCCACACACGTAGGCCTAGCTTAATTCTTTTCTGAAGCACACAAATACTTGAAAAGGATACTTCCTTGGAATGGAAATACAATTTAGTCTTTCACAAGTGATTAAGAATAGAATCTGTATATTATATGTTTCAAAATAGTTATATAATTAGCTAATGAATTATTATTTAGTTTTGTGGATTTATTGTATTATATAGGGATTATTTATATAGTTTTGACACCGGTTAAGAACACTGTTGAACAAAGACTCATTTTAACCAAATTCAAAATTTTTCAATTTGGTCATACCTTTAACATATAGCATCAAGCTCAAAGGCAATTCGAATCATGTTGGTGGCTTATCAGATTAATATGTCAAGAAAGTAAAATTAAGCCTTTGCAAACTATCAATAATATCAATATGTACCGCATGCAGTGTGTCATAAAAACGGGCCCGAATCATTATTTCATAAAGATTTTCGTAATCTTCGTCGATTTAGGCCACCAAAAGAACATTTATTGGAATTATAATAGTCCACTCAAAAGCCTTGACTGAAGGAAATAACTAAAAATCGCTTTTTATGAATATTAAACTTATTCCTGATAAATTAATGGTCTTTATCGCCGGGGGTTTGAAAATCTGGTGTATAAGTCGTTTTTCCTCATAATTCCATATCGACCAAGCTGTAAATGCATATGAAGTTGTTAGACCCATCCGCGTAACTCTAAAAACGTTCATCGGAATTCGCTAATAATTAATCCATATAACATCTCATCAATTCACATTATGAACCAAGTTTCATCAAAATGAATGAAATGAAATGAAATTTACTGCTACTGATTTTGGTAATACAGACTACAGGATAAGTTTAGTAAAACACTCTCAGCGTATCAGATGGTGTCATACTATACATTGTATTATATATAGTTTCATGTTGAAAATAATACTGGCCCTGCTGGCATTGGGTAGCTTGATATTTATTATTGACAAAAGAAATTATGATCAACCGACATTTAACTTCTTCTCATCCAACCAGAATCACTACTTGAAAACTAATTAGTTCACAGCCAAGAACTTTCTTCAGGCAATCTTGAAACAACCTCAATTTGATGACATTGTTAAGATAAATAATTTATTATGTGCTGCTCTGAAGTTATGGTATATCAAGGTTTTTGTTTTACAGATCTACCTACTTTTTATCAAAATACAATTGTTCTGGTATTCGTCATTGACAATTTCAAAGACATATTCACAAAAAGCAACTTCTTTTTTCACCCAATTAGCAGAAACATAATTAGAAGATAAAAATCAATTATTGTAGGAAACAATTTTATTATTCGAGGCCTAAGAGTTCATGAGGGAGAAAAACAACGAGTAAAGTTGATATTGAAGATGACACTTAAGATTTGATAGTAATAAAGTTAAATAAATATAACTGGCTTATTACTACTGGTCAAATGAAGGCCTTCATTCAGTGTTTTTAACTTTCTCTGACTATAGGGAAGAGTTTCAATTTCCTTTTCAATTTCAGAGCCAGACAATATTATAAGTATCTTGGGGATATCAATGATTTCCTGTCTTTGTGTGTATGTATTACGGACAGCTTTAGCTTCCCTTAGTAACACTACTGTTTTCGACTGGCATACCAGAAAGATTTGACCAGTTTGTCACGTCACCATCACGAAAAAGCATTGTAAAGAAATAATATTTATGGATCACTATGGTAGAGTATACAAGAACCACAGACGACAATCGAGGGAATCAAAGTGGTGCAAATTGATGTAGGCCAAGTACATCTTACTGTTTCGTGCTCGATCGGTTTATTAACCCATTATGCCCTCAGGAAGGGGTAGAAAACATATTACTATCACTTTTTTTCCACATGTAAATTCCGTTATCCTATTATAACGCAATATACTGTAGTTATTTGGCAAACTTTCATCTGAATTGATAGTGTAATCGTCAGCGGAATATAAACTGCATGAATCTTGTAAAAAATATTCTGTTAGCTGTAATCTGTAAAATAAATCATTTAGATATTCTGATAGACCTATGCAGTACCGCTGATAACACTGTCTAGACCGAAGATTTCACCAACA